TGCGCTCCTCTATGTCTTCCTGCCAATATGACCAAGTTGCGAAAACAAGGTCAAACAACTTAAATAGCTTACGCCTCTAAGTATCGTAACTATTTTCTTATTTCTGGATGGAGGTGCGATAAAGTATTTCACTGTTTCCGAATGACACTTTCTCATCAGGGAGCAGAACCCGTTGTCAACCATAGAAAAGGCCACACCATCTTGATCTTCATACCTTCGATTATAAAAAAGTTGCTTCATTTGTATAAAATAGAAGCAAAATCAGCTAAAATAACAAAGTAACGCAAATACTATCAAATGATTACAAGCGATTAAGTTTAGTCGTGATAAGCAATCGGACTGTCTGATCAAAGGCCACACAAACAGCTAGCCCGGTTTTCTCAGCACACCAGTCAAAGCCAGAAATAGGTTGATTTGAAAGTGTGATATTCTGCAGTTGAGTCAGACTGCCCATCACACCCTGGGGCACTTCGACCTCCCGTTCTGTTCCATCCACAACCTGGGTTTCCTTGACAAGTTTGCGCCTCTTTGTCGGGTATTCATATTTCCAGAGATTAAGAGATCCGTTCCCGCCAGTCGTCATCATTAGATCTCGTTGTTGAGGCAAATGACGAACCTGAAAACAGAAAACAAGATTTTATAAATGCGAGAATGAATAATCGAAAGTGCATAACGAAAAATATCTATGGCTTTTATTGAAATAGCAGTAGGCCTTATCAATGCCAATCCGACTGGAAATAGGAATTAAGAGGGGCCTGACTTGCTTTGAAAGTCACATCTGCGCCGTGATTTATAGGCCTCCGTGGTTGTTGCAGAGTGGCAAATTTGTTCCTTGATGCAGATGATTCTATATCGGATGGTGACAATGAGATCCAAGCGAGATCAAAATTATATTAAAACCTGGATGGGAAGGCCTTTTGGGAGATAAAGCTATACGAAATTTAATGACATTATAAGGTCTTCATCTTGGTCATTTTAGTCTTTTATCAATTAGGCGTTAAAGGTGACTCGGGTTCTTACACTAGTGAAATATTAATAATATCAGGGAGCAAGTAGTAGTATTATAAGAGTGCTATAAACGGACAAATGATAAATGTAACCAATAAGATGTTCTAAATAAAAATATTATTACAAAAATAGCATCACTGCAGTATTTTGAGATTGAAGAGAAGCTGGAAAGAGATTCTGATACGCCATGTTTAACGAAAAGAGTTGCTTAAATCACGATAACCATCATGATCGTCAGGTGCTTGGTGTAAAATAAATGGAGATTCTATACTATAAATTGTAAATGGAACATTGCCTTTTTATTTTGGTAAAAATGTTC